GCAGGGCAGGGCAGGGCAGGGCAGGGCAGGGCAGGGCAGGGCAGGGCAGGGCAGGGCAGGGTGTGTGGACCACACCAGCCTTCTTCCCTACTCTCAGGCAGAACCATTTCTCCATGACAGAACATTGGTAAGAAGATGTCCTGCCAGCAATTCATTGCCAACTTGGACCAGCTGAACGATGGCCAAGACTTTGCCAAAGACCTTCTGAAGGTATTATCTGCTAAGGGTTCTCATGCCCCCTTGTCCTACCCAGCAGGAGTGGAGTGAAATCTTGCCCCACTAAATCTTGACATTCTAGATCCATAGAGTTGGAGACTGCCTAGTTCCTCACCTGACTGTTGTGTATTCTCCAAGAAAGATAGATGGTGAGGCTCTGTGCACTCTGATTTTTAGTACTTCAATGACCACCATTCTAGTAGTAACCATACTATCACCAAATGAGAACCATCACTGTCACCGATTGTTATGGCTACCATCCATGACTGTCTCTACCATCAACACCTCCCTCACCACCACCTCCTCCACCACTACCATCTCCACAACCTCCTCCACCACCACCTTCCCCCCCACCACTCCCCCACCATCACCACCACCACCACCTGCCCTCCACCTCTCCCCCACCATCACCACCACCACCATAACCATAGGGAAAAGTCTACTCATTCCTTCATCACTGGCAATGAAAGAAATTAGCTTTCCTTTGAGGCTTCCCAAGGTGAAGCTTTGGCCTTGTATAAAAAAGAACAGGTTTATTTTGGGGTTATTTATAGATGATGAGTTAATTTTTAGATCGTCTTTTAATAGCCTCATGGTGCTAGGAGTGGAGTTGAGTGGTAAACCTAAAGGAAGACATATACGATTATTATGTGCCAGTTACAGAAACTAAAAAAGAACAGTGTCTCCTCTTTTTTTCTTTCTTTTTTTTTTTTTGCTACAATTATCTGCTTCACCATCAAGAAAGACCTGATGAAAATATACCTTTAAGCTCAAGCTGAGCATGGTGGCACACACCTTTGATCCCAATACTTGGTAGACAAAGGTGGTAGATCTATGAGTTTGAGGCCAGCCTGGTCTATAGAGGGTTCCATAATAGCTAGGTCTACACAGAGGAACCCTGTCTTTAAAAACAAAACAAAACAAAACAAAACAAAACTATCAAATCCCCATTCATTCATTCCTCACTATCTACTTCTCATCTTTTATCTCCTTCTCCATCCACTTACATGTTTCTTCATGGTTCTATACACCATCTGCCCATCGACGTAACCACTTACCTACCCATGTGCCTACCCACTCACCCCTCACCACAAGCTCTCATGTAGCCCAGGATGGCCTTCAGCTCACTGTGTAGCTGAAGATAACCCTGAGTTTCTGATCCTCATGCCCCCACTTCCCACGTGCTGGGATTCCAGGCATGTGTCACCATGCTGGCTTTATGTGGTTCTGGGGATCAAATCCCAGCTTCACACACACTAGGTACACACTCTACCAAATGAGTTATGTCCCAGCCCTCCAAACAAGACTCATTGGTGAGCAAGTTAGACATTATAGACCTTGGGAAGCTTACAACCTCCTGGCTACACAGACAGTAGTGACTGCATAACTAAAGATCATCCATCCAGCCGGGCGGTGGTGGCGCATGCCTTTAATCCCAGCACTCAGGAGGCAGAGGCAGGCGGATTTCTGAGTTCGAGGTCAGCCTGGTCTACAGAGTGAGTTCCAGGACAGCCCGGGCTACACAGAGAAACCTTGTCTCGAAAAACAACAACAACAAAAATCATCCATCCAATACACCCACCTATCCACTCACTTATGCATCATGCGACACCAAGCAAATATGAATGAAGCACCCACTTTACCCGTTTAACTGCAAAGATGTACCCTCACCATGACCATGTTGCTGGAGAGACACGGGGTTTCTCTGACTCTCCACCTGAAATCCTTTCTTCCTCCCCTTTCTCCTCCCTGATTCAGACGCTTTACAACTCCATCAAGAATGAAAAGCTGGAATGGGCCATGTGAGTAGATCAGAGTATGAGACTGGTTACCAGGAGAGGGAGTGGCTGGGCATGCAGACCACTCTCCAAGGTGCTGATTTATCCTAGCCCAGGCCCCCGACAGTCCCTACCCAGCTGGCCAACACCCTATGGATTCATTCTCTGACTTGATTACAAGTGTGCAATGTTTATACTGCTGTAGAATAGATTCTACCATGACTTTAGTTCTGGGAATGTCGGTGACTAGTTTTTCTGTACTGAGGATATTGCCGAGTTCCCAATTAATGACAGCTTTTTCCCTTTTGGGACGTAGGGCAGAAAGTACAGGTTCCCAACAGCACTAGCAGTGCGAAAATGTTTGGGTGGTGACTGCTTCTGGTAATGGGAGGGACAAATGCCCTAACTTCTTCACCTGTGAAGGCTGTTCACACCCATTTGCAAAGAGGGTTGGAGATATTACTGGCTAGTGAGATTGGGAGAGGCTCGCTCTGAGGGGTTGGGGGCAAGCCCCATGGCTGAGCTCCCTAAGGAAGGTTGTACCTGCGAGGATGTGTGGAGGGAGGCCCATAGCTTGGGGACGGTTACTATGCTGGGAAGAGCCGGCACTCTTCTACCAGGGCTCAGAAGGTAGGCCTGGACTTCGGGCTTTGCCCTGTTGTTCTATGATTTCCAGCACGTTGGCACAGTTTGTGCAACAGCTTCAATCCACAAAGGCATAGTGCTCCTTGGGCTGGAGAGGTTTAGGAAGACTGGGGAAGGAAACTTGAAGACAAGGAAGTCTCTAACTCTCTGTTAAAGGTGAAGATTAGTTTAGAGACTCTGAATCAAAGATCGGATAGCAAAATTCAGAACTGAAGATGAAGGGGAGGGGTCAGAGGGCTGGAACTGTATTTTGTAATCTTTTGTCTCCAACTTTGATGCCAGAAGGGTAGCTGGTGGGAAACGCTGTGGCAAGGGGTGGGGGTGGGCAAGGCCTCTCTGGAGGTGGCTCAGGCTTGGTACCTTCCTAGTGATGAGGATGAGCTGAGAAAATCCCTGTCTGAGCTGGTGGATGACAAGTTTGGGACGGGCACAAAGAAGGTGACTCGGATCTTGGATGGTGGCAATCCATTCCTGGATGTCCCACAGGCTCTCAGCGCTACCACCTATAAGCACGGCGTGCTGACCCGGAAGACTCATGCTGACATGGACGGCAAGAGGAGTGGGTGTCAGGCTGGGGAAGGGGCCTGGGAGGGATGCTGGTGTAGGAGGGACCCATCCTTGGCCACTCCTTTGGGGACACACATACAGGTGGAGGTGCAGGGAATGGAAGGGTAGGAGTTAATGGTGCCCCCTCTCAGCACCCCGTGGGAGGCGTGGCTGGAAGAAATTCTACGCGGTGCTCAAAGGGACCATCCTGTACCTGCAGAAGGTGAGAGGGAGGTTTCAGAACCCTCATGTAGAAAGGGCCCACTCTGTCTCATCCAGCCCCTGCCTGTGATATTCAGCTCAGGGTCTTCTGGCCAGGACTGGGACCTAGAGAGGAGCTAGGGCTTTCTTCTGATAAGAGTCTTACCTGGACTCACTCAGGAGCTTTGAGGGTTTGGGGCAAGGGACTCTGAAATGCCAAGTGGATTATGCCTCGTGGCATTATGGGACAGTCTGGGGTGTGAGGGGAGGGCATATGCAGTGATTCTATGTTGCGGGAGGGTAGAGGCAATTCAGAGGAGGGAGGAAGGGAAATGACAATGGGCTGTGTGGGGCAGTGAGCTACAGCCCAGAGTGACAGAGCATATTTCACTCAGGATGAATACAGGCCTGATAAGGCCCTGTCCGAGGGGGACCTGAAGAACGCCATCCGTGTACATCACGCTCTGGCCACCAGGGCTTCTGACTACAGTAAGAAGTCCAACGTGCTCAAGCTCAAGACAGCAGACTGGAGGGTCTTTCTCTTCCAGGCACCGTAAGTAGGAGCAAAGACTCCTAGCCTGCAGCATCAGCCCCGCAAGCTCCACTCTCCTGGTCTCAGGATAGAAACCTGAGATTCCTGTGTCCATCAGCCACAGACTTGGTGTGTCTGCTTGCCACAGATCAATGGCTGCTTCCGGTCTTACAGAGCGGTGGCTTTCAGTGTGGCCTTCTCTGTCACCTGGAAGCAGGGTAGGGAGGCCACCTTACTGCCCACATCTTAGGCCCACAGAGTCAATACCTGACAAGGTCTAATAAGCCTGCAGGGGCTGCAGGTGCACTCTGAAGTCCTGCAGATCAGGCTGATAGACTGGGACTCATCCTTGACAAAGGTTAAGTGGGAAGGACTCCTTATACCTTTGACCTGTAAGGCCTGCTCTGCTGCACCCCATCCTCTGTGACTAGAGATGGGGAGTTTTCACATGTCAGACACGTTTCCCATGAAGGAGATTAGTATGTGAGAACTGGGGGCCCAGCGGGAATCTGGGCAGGTGATGGGGCAGGACAGAGGCTTACTTACTGCAGCTGATCCTGGAGTTCGTGGGCTCTAGGGACATCAGTCCAGCCTGGAGCAGGTTTATTTTGTGGGAGTCCAGATGGGAGTTGCCTATCTAGTTCTGACCAGGCTCATTCACCCACCTGCCCATCCCACCCTTCTTTCTCCTTCCTGACCTTGCCTAGATATTAGTGCCTTCTCTGCCAGACTTCATGGTGAGTACTGGGTGCCAGGTCAGGAGAAGGCTGGAGGTCCTACCATGAGAAGTAGAGCCCTTTATGTCCTCTTCTGTCCCCAGGAGCAAGGAAGAGATGCTGTCCTGGATCCTCAGAATCAACTTAGTAGCTGCCATCTTCTCAGCACCCGCCTTCCCAGCAGCTGTCAGCTCCATGAAGAAGTTTTGTCGACCCTTGCTGCCCTCCTGTACCACTCGCCTTTGCCAGGTACAAGCTCCTGGGGCTAGGCTGCTGGCCTCATCTCAGCCCTTTCTCTGGGTCATGTAGTACTGGGCTGAGGGACACCAGGGAAGGAGAGATATTCTCCTTCATTCTACCACCCTGGATCCACTCACAGGTGAGACAATGAAGACCCCCACATGCACAGCACAGAAGCCTGTCAGTTCTGTGATGGGTGACATGGGCTCCCTTCCCTGCCAGTGGCAGATCAGCTGTGTGGGTGTGACTGTGGGTCTGTGGCATGAATTTGAGAGGCTGTATGTGTCATAGAGACAGGTGAAACTTGGCTGACCCTTTACACAGTGAAAGATTGATTTGTTTTGCATGTGTTTGTGCTTATATGTGTGTGTGCATGTGGGTGCACATGTGTGTATATATTACAGTCTACTTAAAATGATATCTTTAGTTCCATCAATGTCTCTGTAAATGACATAGTTTCATATTTAGTTTTCAAAATTTATGTATATGTGTGTGTGTGTTCATTGTGTAAGTTTATAAGCACCACATATGTGCAGGTGCCCACAGAAGCCAGAAGAGGGCATCGGATTCTCCAGAGTAACAGGCAGTTGTGAGCTACCGGGTATGGGTGCTGGGATCCATACTGAACCTGGCGCCTCTGGAAGAGCAGTGAGTGTTCTTCGCTGCTGAGCCATCTCTTCAGCACACACAGTTTCATTCTGTATGGATGAATAAAACCTCACTGTGTATATACACTATATTTTCTGTATCCATTTGTCTGTTGCTAGACACTCAGGCCTATTCTATCACTCAGATATTGTGAACATTGTCACAAGAAACAGGTGTGCAGGTATGGCTGTAGTGTGCTGGCTCAGATTCCTTTGGGTGTGTTCTTAGGACTGGCACAGTCGGAGCATATGGTAGTTTCATTTTAGAATTTATTTATTATTTTGTGTGTGTGTGTGTGATGTGTTGTGGGTGGGGCACACATGGCCTATCATATGCGGATGTCAGAGGACAACTTTATGGAGTCTGATCTCTCTTCTTTATGTGTTTTCAGGGATCTAATTCAGGCTTGTTCAGCAAGCACTTTATCCACTGCACCCTCTCTGTGGCCTCCTCTATTTTTAGTTTTTTAAAAAAATTATTTATCTTTATTATTGCTATTTTTTAATGCAATTGGAGTTTTGTCTGCATGAGTGTCTGTATGAGAGTGTCACCTCACCTGGAACTAGAATTACAGACAGCTGTGAGCTGCCATGTGGGTCCTGGGAATTGAACTCAGGACCTCTGGGAGAGCAGCTAGTGCTCTTAACTGCTGAGCCATCTCTCCAGCTCTCTATTTTTATTTTTTGATGAGCTTCCAGTAAATGTATTAATTTACAATCCCACCACACTGTACAAGGGTTCCCTTCCCCCAGTCTTCACAAGCAATTGTTTTTCACTTTTCTTTCTTTTTTTAAAAAAGATTTATTTATTTTATGTATACAAGTACACTGTCACTCTCTTCAGACACACCAGAAGAGGGCATCAGATCCCATTACAGATGGTTGTGAGTCACCATGTGGTTGCTGGGAATTGAACTCAGGACCTCTTGGAATAGCAGTCAGTGCTCTTGACTGCTGAGCCTCTCCAGCCCTTCACTTTTCTTATAAAACATTTTTTGAGACTTTGTTTTTATTTTTTGTGTATGAATGTTTTGCCTGCATGTATGTTTGTGCACTAGGAATGTACCTGATACCTGCAGAGGCCAGATGAGGGAACAGGAGTCACAGACAGTTGTGAGCCACCATGTGGTTGCTGGGTTGAGGAACCCAGGCCCTCTCGGAGAGCAGTCAGTGCTCTTAACCACTGAGCCATCTCTCCAGTCCCTATTTTTCACTTCTTAGAAACAGTCCAGTGTTGGTGTTTGTCTTAGTCAGGAATATTTTATTGCTGCAGTGAAGCACCATGACCAAAAGCAACCTGGGAAGAAGAGGGTCTATTTCACTCCAGCTCATCATCAAAAGCAGTGAGGACAGGGACTCAGGCAGGGCAGGAGCCAGAGGCCATGGAGGGTGCTGCTTACTGCTTGCTCTTTATTGCTTGCTCAGCCTGTTTTCTTATAGAACCCAGCAATGGCGCCACCCACAGTAGGCTTGATCACTATTAAGGCTTGACTATAGCCTGATCTTATGGAGCTTGCCTCCTTCCTTCCTTCCTTCCTCCCTCCCTCCCTCCCTCCCTCCCTCCCTCCCTCCTTCCCTCCCTCTCTCTCGCTCTCTCTCTCTTTCTTTCTTTCTTTCTTCTTCCTCTTCTTCTTCCTCCTCCTTTTCTTCCTCCTCCTCCTTTTTTCTTTTTTTTTTTTTTTTTTGAGACATGGTTTCTCTTTGTAGCCCTAGCTCTGTCCTGGAACTCATTCTGTAGATCAGCATGGTCTTGAACTCGAAGACATCCACCTGCTTCTGCCTCCTGAGTGCTGGGATTAAAGGCATGTGCCACCACCAGGTTATGGAGGCATTTTCCTAATTGAGGATTCCTACTCTTAGATGACTTTATCTTGAGTCAATCTGACATAAAACTATCCATAACAGCATTCTCTCTCTTTTTTAATCCTTAAATACTTTAGTTCTATTTCTATGAAAACCCTATCTTACTAATACCACAGATTTTCAGAGTATTTTAGACAGGAAAGGATAAACAATGGATCGGAACCTGAGAACAGAGGGCTGGCAAGCTTCAAACTTCCTTTCAGTCATTAGTCCTTTCCTATTAAGGCCTTCATCTCTCCACAGAGCTTCAGGGCATTCTGAATGTGTATATAGTGTGTCTGTGTGGAGCTTCTGTGAGTATGTGGTGTGGTGTGTCTGTGTGTGTGTGTATGAACACAGATACACTATATACACGTACACATCACATCAGCATACATATGTACATATGCACACCTGTATGCCTGCACCACAGGGGTATCCACACATCTACATGTACAGACTGCTCTGTAACTCTGTTACTCACTGTGCTGAGTGGTGTGTGTGTGTGTGTGTGCGTGTGCGCACACACTGGCCTGTCAGTCTCATCTACTTCTAGGTATGATGGTGAGAGGACGCATGTGCTGTACGGAGCTTGGGATAAGTGGGACCAGGCTGACCCTTGTCCCAGCATGCTTCAGTGCACATGTGGGATTCTATGCAGGGGGTTGTGGTGGAGGTGTCTGTTCCGAAGTGTGTATACTCACATGCAAATGGAATGTGTCTTGTTGGCTGAGCCTGCTGGCTCATGTCCCTGTGAGGAAGAGGAGGAAAAAGAGTGGAAGGAGCATTCATGTCTAGAGCCTAGCTCTGAACCTTTGAGTTTGAGGACCTTGGTCAGCATCAGTTTCTCTTTGGTGAAGCAGCTTCCAGTGTGGATGGGATTAGGCCCATGTCTGTTGAAATCCCAAATGTCAGACCTCACAGATCTGGGCTTGTCTTTGCAGGAGGAGCAGCTGCGGTCTCATGAGAATAAGTTGAGGCAGGTGACTGCAGAGCTGGCTGAGCACAGGTGTCACCCACTGGAGAGAGGCCTCAAGTCTAAGGAAGCGGAGGAATACCGGCTGAAGGAACACTATCTCACGTTTGAGGTAGGTCTTGGGAGTTGGATGGCAGAGGTCAGAGCTGGGGCTAGAGGAGAAGGCCAGCTTCACCCTCCACTTCTGCCATCAACAGCAACATTCCAGGGACTCTAGTTTGAGACTTCCCTAGCATGGGGCTCTCTGAGGCCAGTGTAAGCCAGTGTCCTGTGGTCAGTCTCGCACAGTCTGGCTGTCAAATGTTGATAGATTTTGCCTATGGCTGGGTCTCTCCAGGCGTCCTTCACATCGACTGTGCAGTGTAAAATAGAGATGACAAAAGCCACAGGGGACTTTCTGGGGGTGAGGCCTGGCTTCCTTTCCTGGGCTGAATTCATGTTCGTGACATGCTGTTAAAGGGTTTCCAAAACTATCCCCATTTGACAGAAAGGTAAACTGAAGCTCAGAGAAGCCAGAGCACTGGCCCAATGTGACACAATTAGGAAAAGCAAACTGCAGGATCCTAAGCAGGTGATTGGCTGCAACTCTGGCGTCTGAGTTCTCTCTCTTATTTGGCTCGGTGTGGGTGGGGAGAACATGAAACCTCATAGGCAGAACTGGGAAGGGAGAAGAGTCCCCTGAGGGTGGACAAGGCCTGAATCTGCTAGGTCTCCCTCTTAAATGTTAATAGCAACTTTTAAATAACCTTTCTAAGTGTTTATGGATGCATCCATTTGGAAATGTTTTAATCTTCATCGATCTCACAACCTTAACGATCGTTTTTTCATTACTTTTTAATTCAGATTTCACATTTTTAATAGACAAGATTTATTTTTATTTATGTGTACTTGTGTGCATCTTCACACTTGCTTGTGAATGCTTGTAAAGGGTCAGATCCCCTAGAGCTAGAGTTACAGGCTATAGTGAGCTGCCTAATATGGACACTGAGAACCGAACTCGGGTCCTCTGAATGAACAACAAGCACTCCTAACTGCTGAGCCATTCCTTCAGCCCTAAATTTTTAAAATTTAAATTGTGGAAACACATAATAAATTGTTTCATCTTGATCGATTTTCAGTGTGTAGCTCAGCAGCATTTATTGTACCAATCTCCAGGTTTCTCTATCCTCCAAATGGAAGCTTTGCTCATTAAATATATAATTTCCTTATCCTTCAAAGCACAGAAGTTTTAAGTATTAGTGTAATCCCATTTGTCCATTTTTGCTTTTATTGACCATGTCTCTCGTGTTGTACCTAAGAAATCATTGATATTATTTGGATTGTCAAGTTATAAGTGAGAAACTGGGCATGATTTAATCTCAGTACTCAGGAGGTTGAGGCAGGAGGATTGCTGCAAGTTCAAGGTCAGTCTGGCTTGCATGGTGAATTCCAGGGCTACATAGTGAGATGGTGTCTCAAGAAAACGGTATGTGAGATTGATGTGTATGTTTGCCTATTTTGGGGGGTGGCTTATTTCCTTTTGTTGTCAAGAGCTGTTGATGTAGGGGCATGCCACAGAGGTTGGTGCTTCGTTACTAGTAGGTTTTTAAGACAAATCTCCTATCTCCATTTTGTTGCATCTTGTTTGACTTTGCTTTTGTCTTTTGTCTTCCCTTTCCCCAGAAAAGCCGTTATGAGACCTATATCCACCTCCTGGCCGTGAAAATCAAAGTGGGCTCAGATGACCTGGAGCGGATTGAGGCTCGGCTGGCTACTCTAGAAGGGGATGACCCAGCTCTCCGGAAAACACACTCAAGCCCCGCCCTCAGCCTGGGCCATGGGCCCGTGACTGGCAGCAAAGCCACAAAGGATACCTCTGCATCTGATACCTAGCTGGTGTGGCTGTGCAGGCCCTAGAAGCAGGCAAATGTCCCCAGAGGGGTCAGTGAGCACAATTCCAGTCAGGGACTGCTTGGACCAAGCTCCAGGCAGTTAACCGGCAACCAGAGGGGTATGGAGAGCCCTGTGCCCAAGGAGACTCATGACGCTGATCTTCTTGCATCCTGGGCCATCTCTGGCCTAGGCCCTCTCCTAGCCCTGCTGCCCTTCAGTCACAGGGCCTTGCTTTGCAGGCCAGACATGCTCTAGGGCCGAACAAGTCTGTCACTGTTGCTTTCCCAGGCTCCCTTCTCATCAAGCTCCTCCCTCATCTTGTATTTGTGAGGGTGGGTCTGGACTCTGAATCTCAGCTTGGCCACTCACCCTTTCTCCTCTTTCCTCTCAGTTGACCAGCAGCAGGTCTATGGACCACCAGCAACCTTTACAACTGGCCCAGTCCTGCCTCACATTGCAATAATCTGGGGCCTAACCTCCACTCAGTGCCAAGCTGATTCCACTCATGCGTGTACCCCCTTTCTCCTTTCGTCCCCTGAGGCCTCTCCAGTCTCTTTTTTATATACACACACAAAAATATATATGTAAAGAACTCATTTAAAGAAGGGTTGGGAACTACTACCCACTAGAGGATGAAACCAGATGAAGGAGAAGGCCTGTCTTGGAGCTTGGCCTGCTAACGAGGAAGCCTGCAATGGGGCCCTCTAAGGGCTGCTCTGACACTCTGGATGGAAGGATGAAGACCCTCTGTGTTTTTGTCTTTTCCTTTTTCGGCTGACTTGTGACTCACAATCACTTTTCCAGTTGATGCTTTTGGACTGAACAGGATACATGTGTATGTATCACCTCCTTTGTCCCAGGGGGTGTCCTGTGGGGTGAGTGCCTTGGTAGCACACCTCTGTTTGCTTTTCTATCTTCCTGTGAATACTGCCAAGGTCTTAGAGCTCCAGTGGTGGCCTCTGCACAGACCTACTGGCAGTAAGGAAGGACACTCTACCTTGCTGGGCGCCATCCTCCGGCAAGCCCAGGCCAGGCAGTAGAGTAGGCTTACAGAAGCTGTTAGCTCTCAGCTCTGGGGGGTGGGGAAGGTTTTGATTAGTGATAATCTTTTCCTTTTCCTAGCAAATCAGAAAGGCTAAGCAAAGGACCCAGTTGAGAGTAGAGACATATGTCTCTCACGGGTTGACATCCTTTAAACACTGCATCACTTAGAGCAACAAGTGAGTCTTGGGGATAGCCCTCTTGACACAGCTACCACAAGCTGATCTTTCCTATTGTTTGGCTAACAGTTTGCAGTCTTGGGTGACATAAGCCTTGTACTAAGCGCTTAACACTTCAAGTCCACTCCCATTGGATGCAGGGAGCTGGGAGTTTGTGGAGAGGTGTAGTGGGTTGAAATCCAAATTGTTTAAATTGGATTAGCTGAAGTGCGTTTTATAACCAAACCATCTGGCCCCTTTGTTTTGCTCAGGGGAAGCAAATGCTCGTTTGAATGAGATCAGAAAGGCAATTCGGGGGCAGCAAAGTGGTTTCAGTTCTTTGTCCAGCTGCCTGAAGGTCCTTTGATTTTTCCAGCCAGTGTCCCACTCTCTGTGTCATGGGGTCGGGGACAGCAGAGGTGCAAGTTCCTTAGCCTCAGACACGCATGACTGCCCAAGCACTAGTTGTGCCTCCCATCAGTAAAGACATTTTTTAGTTTGCTTCCTTAATTGTATAATTCTTTATTTGTAAATTATATACATGTACTACTGTACTAAAATATTATGTACATTATAAAACATACACAAAAATAGAAATTTAAAAAAGATGAGATGAAAATAAATCTAAATCAAAGTTCTAATATTTTTTTCCTGCATTCTAATAGACCATCATGCTACTCTTCCCTGTGACCCCTAACAAGCCCATAAGGACAGGTCAAATCCAGGGCCTGACAAGGTCCTGGGAGGTTTGCTCTAGGGCTCAGGAACTCCTGGTACCAAACTCTCTAGACAAACAGCCTTCATCCTCTTCAGTGAGGGTCAACCATGTGCCATACACTGTTGCTGTGTGCTAGGGACAGTGGTTAAAGAGGCCAGCTCTCTGTGTTTATGGGTCTCACTGTTATGAGAGAGACTAGGGGAGAAGTGGTCACCATTGCCACTGAGGACTCTGAGAGGGACTGAGAAAAGACACTGAAAGTGATAACACTAAGTAAAGAAAGAACTTGGGTTCAGGGAAGAGAATTTTGACCTAGGAAGCTGCCAGAATGTCCTGAGTGTTCCAGGGGACAGGGTGGTGGAAGGGAAGTTGTCTGAAGTGACTGCAGCGCTTCCTGAAAGGCCACATACTCAATTAACATCGCTGAGGCGAAAACCTGAGAGTCAGGGTGGTCAAGAGGGCTCTCTGGTCAAGCGTGCTCCCCGGTCCCAACCATACCTGTCCATTGAAGACTGGCTGATGCAAAAAGGGGAACAGTGAACAACGAGGTTAAGTTCTGGCCTTAGACTCTTGGTGGGCTATCTTAGAACCCAGGGAAGATGATGAGGGAATGAAATGGGGACATGTACAGGTCAGTGAGTTCACTGAGGGGTCACTCAAAGTTAGCCGGGGTCATTTGAGTCTTACCAGTGGTTTCTGGATCAAAACCTAGAAGGCAACAACTTAGAGCCCTCACAGTTTAAGTGAGGACATTAACCTAGATTGTAATGAGATCAGTGGACTCACCAAGAGGTCATAGCAGTTAATCTGGGGTCTCATAGAGATCAGAGGTCACACATAAGGCTTACAGCCCTAAGAAAGCAAACAGACAGCAGAGGGCTCTAATGGGTCTTCTGGTGGGGCCCAGTAAGTTTATAAGTTTAGACTTTTCTTAATCACCTCATTGAGTTTTTGCCACTTTGTGACTCATGATTACAAGGCACAGGATTCTGTCACTACTACCATCAAGACTAGATATTAATCAGGAATAATGCCGGGTCCGTCTGCATGTAACCTCCACAGCAGCTCGCTGAGGTAAACAATTGCTTCCTCATTTCTCACTAAGTGAACTGTGCATGGAGAAACCATATAGCTAGTGAGGGACAGCTGTCACTCGGATTCAGAACCTATTGTTGCTCTATGCCTCTCTGTCCTACTCCTCTGTGTCTGTCTAGATCCACGCTGGAACTTTCGAGAATGTGTATAAGCATACACACATGTACACATTCACCCCAGCTCTTTGGAGAGAAGGCTTCAGGTTCTGGCTAGAATCTTGGTTCCTGGCATTCTAGGGAGCTGACAAGAAAGACTCTTTACCCTGGACTCTATCTGCCTCCTCCATGCCTGAGATCAGACCTTCATCAGAGCTGCAGGTTTAGACAGGCCCTGGCTCTGATGGGGGTATACAATTGGGGAAGGAGCAATATCCTGTGGGCTCGGGAGCTGCAGCTGTCTGGTCCTTCTGGCAATCAGGGTACCCATTATGTTGTCTTACATGTCCAGACTCTGCCTGTGACATGCCTGAAGCCCCAAGGGTCATCTTTGCCTCCGCTGCTCCAGTGCCAACCCCACAACCCTTCCCTCTTCACCCACCTGGGCAGAAAACTGTTGCCCCAGTCCAGCTTCCTAGCTGCAGGGCAGGATCGGGCCGGAGTTCTGAGGCTGAGTTTAAAGTAGAACGTTTTGCGTCAGTCCCTTGGCTGGGTTCCTTAGCACCCAGGGGGACACCTTATAAATGATTTGGAAGGAAGACTTGGAGCGGGTCCTGGGAGCTGGGACCAGAGGGACTGGAGAGAGGGTCACTTCCGCTCAGGGACTACCTTGGCCCTATGCAATCTTTCTTCCAGTACCCACGTGCCTCATCCTAGGCCCTCCTTCTGCCTTCCCTCCTCACCTGGGGCTAGGTACACACAGTCAAACAGGAGTTATTTCTGATTTTATTTATAATATAAAAATGTTCAAGTGTCAACAGTCAGGTGTTCGGACACGTCAGGGTTCCCATTTGTCTCTGTTTGGGATTTTTGTTTGCTTTTTAAACAATTGCCTTTTTTTTTTTTTTGACAAATTAGCATTGGATCCAGTTGTGAGGGCTGGCTGGGGAGGGCAGGACTGGAAGATGGAAGTCTTAGGTGGGCTGGGAGCTGGGCTGTGTGAAGGATATGGTGTTACTTTATTGCTAAAAGGGGAATCGAATACACTGTCGCAGTGGCTCTTCTGGGTCCCAGCGTGACCATGCATTCAATCTAAAGAGTCTGAAATGCAAAGGACATGCAGGCGTAAAGTAGAAAAGACGACCTGTAAACTTAGGTGCTGCAGAGGACACAGGATGTCCTGGAGGCCGCAGGGGAGGAGGAGCCGAGAAGGTTGGGCCCCTGGTAGAGCTGCCCCCTCCCTAGGCCGGGGGCTGGTGGGGAGACAGCCTTCTCTGTACTTTTTCTCTTAGCAACTGTGAGGGCTGAGGAGGACCCTTCCCCATTCTAGTTGCTGTAGTGGGGAGCCTGTGTCTCCCCCTGGAAATAACCCAACCTCAATTTCAGCTCTAAGGCTAGGATCCCTGCCCTCTGTTCAGGACTCCAGATCTGGACTGGGGAAGATAAAATTCCATCTTATCTTCATTTTCTTTCTCATTAGAACCTCACAGTCTCTTCTTTCCCTGCCTTTCTCACCCCCCACCCCACCAGTTTGGGATCCTACAAGCGCGCATCCCCACACTACACCCCAGACGGCTCTCCAGGAGCCCCAGATTAGCGTACAGCAAAAGGCACCACAATATAGGTTTCTATTAAAGAGTCAAAAAATTGGCCCATCTCTCTTTTTTTTTGTTGTTTCTTTTTTTTTCCGAAGCTGTAAATCAGGATGTTACATATAAATAGTTTCCCTATAAAAACGTCTTTGCCGTTAGCTAGTATTATAAGACAATTTTTTTTTGCTAAAATGAAAATAAAACATTTTGTTATACTTTTTTCCTTTTATAGAAAATAAAAATATTTTTATTTCTTTGTTCGCTCCTTTTCCCTCTCCAGTCGGTGGTCTCCGCTCTCCTTGGAGACGTGGGGCGGGCGAGGCGGGGGCCCTTAGAGGGGCCCCGAGTCCTGCTTGGCCCTCGTGGGCGGCCCCCGGCTGTGTCTGCTGCTGGCGCGCGTGCTGTGGCTGTCCAGGGAGTAGTAAGTCCTGCTGTCGGCCGCCGGGCACAGCGGCGGCGAGTCCGAGCGCAGCGCGTCGTGCGCCGCTCGCAGGCCGAGGAAAGGCGTGCTCTCGGCCGCCAGCGCCCCGTCCGCGTCGTCCGCGTCGTCGTCCGAGGCCGACGCCGAGCCGCAGCCCGAACCGCTGCTCAACGACAGCGAGTCCCGCGCCGAGCGTGCGCGCTGCGCCGCCAACCCG